GAGAAACATTAGGAATCACAGCACCAGCTTCCTTCTCCTCAAATTCTTCAGGACATAAATTATGGACACCAAATACCATTCTCATACTACTTAGATCAAGAAGCAAGTCTTATAAGCAAAGAATTTCTGCTGGAAAGGAGTGAGACCACCAAAATAGTGTCTTTAGCACTGACGTCTCAGAGCTCCAAACTCACAGGAGGCTTAAGCTCCCGCGTCAAGTTAATGCAGCCTCCTGGAGCAAGAACTCGTTCTCATTGGAGGAGGTGAGCACTGGGCACACAATGGCAATGGCCAACTTGTGACTGGAAGGAAAATCACTTAAGTCAGGTTCCCAACCAACAAATGGTCCCCCCATGTTCTGGCAGGGACCAAGGTGAAAAGATTATGTCTCATATGTGTAAATAATGTCAACAAATTTATTCTCTTTGTCGCCTTGACACCATTCTGAAAGTAGATGCTTAAAACTGTAGCCTAAATAATGACTTCTACAGATTTACAATTACACTCTTGTTTTTGTACATGATAGCCCCAAAACCTAGAATGCCGTGTTTATTTTTGCAAGTTCATAATTTCTAGGCTTTTTTAAAAATGTCAAGCTCAAAGATCTTTACAAGACTGACCAACAGATTTGTAAAGTAACAGGAGCCTACTTCAATGTTGCTATTAGAATTTTATTTTGTGTATTTTGTTTTAATCTAATAGCTGAAGAAATATTTGGTCCAGGTGATTATTGAGAGCTCTACTTACGGATGTTTTTGCTTCTAATGACTATACTTTCTTGATCAGAAGTGAGCAGTTTGTTCAGATTTTGCACCATTCTGTCCACACCATAAACTATTGCCATTGGACCATGAACAATCTAAGATCAACAATCATTAAAAATCATTAAAGCATAAGAGATTTTTTATAACATAATACAATGTTCAAGAACCTTAAAAAAAACACTTCCCTACTTTGTTAAGTATATTTCCATGGCTATTAGACTAGCTTAAATCTTCAAGTAAGCAGGCAAACAAATAAACTCCTTTTCAAACCTTGATAATGAACCTCTCCAACCATGTGAGAGTTGTGAATGAGAGGTTCACAGCAGCTCAATTTCCAATACGTCTTCTTGTTAGCAGCTCCTCGGCATGCACTTTAGCCACAATAGACAGAACCATCAGTGAAAATTCAATTGATTTGCAGCTCAATTCATACATAAACTAAAATGATATGTCAATAGGCAGTATTTTTAATTGCTGATTATTGATTGTAAAAGAAGAATTAGGCTTACCTTCTTGCCCCAACCTAGATTCATGCAAGGACAGCCTAAAGAGAAACTAGCTGCTGTTTCTTACTGTAAATAAGGTTAAAATCACTCCCTTTATTCAGTTCTAAACTTGAAGACATATTTTCCGACTTATTTCCTACTGACATACTTAAATGATTTCAGTACTGGTTCTGCAAAATTTTAAGCTATCTGAAATGAACACTTCTAGAGCGAATGATCACTTAGTTGTTGTTTATACACTGACCTGTCCTTGTGTGAAAAAACAAGGTTACTCTTTGAAATATTTCCTATTCCCCAGTTCAAACAGTTCAGGTTATGGTAAGAAATATGACTGATTACCTCATTAATTTCAGTCCACCCCTCTGCATTGTGCCGATCAAGAACCTCACCAGCGATGTGGATAAAGCTTCGGCTTACATTCTCAAAAGCTTCCTGTGTGTCATTTACATCTGGCTCCATGTTGGCAACATTTTGTAGCAAGCGTATGACACTTAGCATGTCAGCGGATTGCAAAGTGACATTTTCCATGTTTAGAACATGTTGTACTGTCTTCAGTATAGTTTCAGCTTCAGAAATATTGGGTACAAGTTTTGTATTACTCAATGACATGTACTCAATAGCCTGTGCAAAGAGAGTTTACATTAATAGAGTTCATGTGAGTACCTCATTATATACTTCTCCCCTGTTACTTGGCAATTTATAAAAAGTGACAAGCTAATATTTTTCTATATAACATTATGTTTAGGTTAATTTAGTCTTTATTGCCTTGAACATTATAGATATTTTCTAATCAACCCATCCAGAGATGTTATTACACAGCTCTGAAGCAGGTAGACCTTCAACCAGGCTTCCTGGATCAGAGGTAAGGACATTACAAGATCATCATAAACAACATTATATGTAAATACATTAAATTTGTGACAGGGTCTCCTGCAGCTGGTGAATTGTGATATTTTATTAATGTAACAAAGGTACTGAATATAACTTTAAGCTTTTCTCACCAAAAAAAGACAAGGCTGCTATTGAGTAATCGAAACCCGCCACTACAGTTGTACAGTCTTTTTTTATTTACAAAATAAAAACCGAAAGAATTGCGGATGCTGTAAATCAGAAACAAAAACTGAAATTGCTAGAAATGCTCAGTAGGTCTGGCAGCATCTGTGGAGAGAAATCAGAGTTAATGTTTTGAGTCCATTGACTCTTCCTTAGAATTGAGCTTTTCCAACAATGTCTGTTTTTGTCTTTTTTATTTGTTCACAGGATATGAGCATCACTGGCCAGGCCAGCATTTATTGCCCATCTCTAATTGCCCAGAGGCTAGTTAAGAATCAATCGTATTGCTGTGGGTCTGGAGTCACATGTAGGCCAGACCAGTTAAAGAAGGCGGATTTCCTTCCTAAAGGCCATTAGTGAGCCAGGTGGGTTTTTTACAACAATCAACAGTGTCTACATTGTTGTTATGATTGGCTATCCTGTCTATATTTCATCCAGATTTTTATTGAATTCCACTTTCACCATCTACCAAGGTGGGACTTGAACCCTGTCCCCAGAACACAAACCCAGGTTTCTGGATTACGAGCCCACTGAGATGTTAAAGAAATTGCTGAAATGATCCCATCAGTGTTAGAAGTGTATCCATTTTGTAATTTTCATACCTTTCGTATTAGGATGTTTTATCTGTGTTTTTCATTTATATGAGGCTTCTGCTCATTGAAGGGTTAATTTTTAGTTGTGTACCGCCTAAGCCTTGCATTAAATTGAGATCACATTATAACAGGGATTGGCACTGTGAGCTGATAGTGTGAATAGGGACGGATGTCCAAACTATTTTATCAGTTATGATCAAAGGGTATGCTTTGAAATGTGTAAATAAATTGACGTTGGAACTATAAATGAGGATGCTGATTATTAAATTTAGCAAATAGTGAAACCGAGAAAAGTTAAAGACGGGCTGTTTGCTGGGTGAGGATTCCCTGTTTAGGCTGTGATGACGAATGTGTGACCACTGAAACAAAATGAGATCAAAGTATATTGGCAATGTCACAACACAGCAAAGCCCTGGCCACACAGGATTAAAGAACTCAGTTGAAGGGACAGATTTCAAGATGCATAAATTTCAAGATATAGGGAAAGAAAAGATGAAAGTCTTTTGTGCTGCTGGAAGTCAGTGGGAAGCAAGAGCCATCTAAACTATGATATCAACAGCCAAAGAACAAAGAACAGTACAGTGCAAGAACAGGCCCTTTGGCCCACCAAGCCTGCGCCAACATAAAAAGCTAAAACCTTTTTAGGGTTATAGAGTTATGGAGTCATGGAGTCATACAGCATGGAAACAAACCTTTTGGTCCAACCAGTCCATGCCGAACATAATCCCAAACTAAACTAGTCCCACCTTTCTGCTCCTGGCCCATATCCCTTCAAACCTTTCCTATTCATGTACCTATCCAAATGTCTTTCAAATGTTAAAGTTGTACCCGTATCCTCCACTTCCTCAGGATGTTCATTCCACACGTGAACCACCCTCTATGTAAAAATTTGCCTCATGTCTTTTCAAATCTCTCTCCTCTCACCTTAAAAATGTGCCCCCTAGTCTTGAAATATCCATTCTAGGGAAAATACAACTAGCAATAACTCTATCTGTACGTCTTATTATTTTATAAACTTCTATCAGGTCGCCTCTCAGCCTGCAACTCTCCAGTGATAAAAGTCCGAGCCTATCCAGCCTTTCTTTATTACTCAAACCTTCCATATCTGGCAACATTCTGGTAAATCTCCTCTAACGCTCTCCAGCTTGATAAATATCCTTCCTATAACAGGGCGACCAGAACTGGACACATTATTCCAGAAGAGGCCTCACCAATGTCCTGTACAACCTCAACATGACTTCCCAACTCCTATACTCAAAGGACTGAGCAATGAAGGCAAGCGTGCCAAATGCCTTTTTAACCATCCTGTCTATATTCAAAGAATTATGTACCTGCGCCCCAGATTCCTCTGTTCTACAACACTACCCTTGTTTGTTGTACCAAAATGCAATACTTCGCATTTATCCGGATTGAACTCCATCTGCCATTTTTCAGTGCATTGACCCATTTGATCAAACCCCTTTATAATCTCAGAAAATCTTCTTCACTGTCTACTATGCCACCGATTTTGGTGTCATCCGTAAACTTACTAACCATGCCTTCTATATTCTCAGCCAAATCATTTATTTGTATGACGAACAAAACTGGACCCAGAACCAATCCCTGTTGAACACCGCTCATCATTGTCCTCCAGTCTGAAAAGCAACCCTTCACCATTATCTCTGCCATTAAGCCAATTTTGTATCCAATTGGCAAGCTCACCCTGAATCCCACGTGACCTAACTTTATTAATTAGTCTACCATGTGGAACCTTGTCAATTGCTTTATTAAAATCCAAATAAACAACTTCTACTGCTCTACCATCATCAATCTTCTTGGTAGCTTCCTCAAAAAATTCAATCAAGTTTCCAGTTTAAGTTAGACCCATCCTTTCTAAATAGGTCTCTTCTGTCCGAAAAGACATTCTAATTGTCCAAAAACCCGAATCTCTGAACAATACACCATGTCTTCAGCCATTGATTTATCTCTTTTAAACTTTGCTTCTATGCAGTCCATATCCTGCTATTCCCTGCCTAGCCATTTATCCATCAAGATGCATCTTAAACATTGTTTTTGTATCTACTTCTACCTCCTCTGGCAACACATTCCAGGCACTTACCACCGTCTGTGCAAAATATTTGTTTCTCATGCCTCCTTTAAATTTTCCCCCTTTTACAGTAAGCCTATGTCCCCTAGTAATTCACATTTCTACCCTGGGAACAAAGAGTTCGACTATACATTTTATCCTCTCTTCTCATAATTTTGTAAGCTTCTATCAGGTTGCCCCTCAGCCTCCGACATTCAAGTGAAAACAAACCAAATTTTTACAATCTCTGCTCAGAGCTAATACCCTCCAAACCAGACAACATCCTGGTAAACCTTTTCTTTACCCTCTCCAAAGCCTCTACATTTTTCCGGTAATGTGGTGACCAGGACTGTCCACAATATTCCAAGTGTGGCCTAACTAAAGTTCTATACAGCTGCAACATGACTTGTCAACTTTTATACTCTGTGAAGGCAAGCATGCCAGATGCCTTCTTGACCACCTATCCAGTTGTGTTACCACTTTCAGAGAACTGAGGACTTGTACACCTAGATCCCTCTGTTTGTTAACACGTCTAAGGGTTCTGCCATTCGTTATAAATGCCCCTCCTTCATTAGACATTCCAAAATGCATCACTTTGCACTTGTTTGGACTACATTCTATCTGCCATTTTTCTGCCCAAGTCTCAAGCCTATCAATATTTTGCTGTATCCTCTGGCAATTCTCCTCACTTGCTGCAGCTCCCCCAGTCTTTGTGTCATCCACAAACTTACTAATCAGACCACATTCTCCTCCAAATCATTTGGAGCCCTGTGACTCTGACCTCCATAATTATGAAGTGCTTCGAGAGGTTAGCCATAGCCCACATCAACTCTGGCCTCCCAACATGCCTTGATCCCCTGCAATTTGCCTACCGGCCACATCGGACGCCACTTCCCTAGCACTCTGAAAATCTGGAATAACCAGGACACCATGTCAGGCTCCTATTTATTGACTACAGATCCGCCTTCATCCACCATAATCCCAATCAGACTAATCTCAAAACTCCAAGACCTAGGTTTTGTCTCCGCCCTCTGCAACTGGATCCTCAGCTTCCTGACCCACAGGCCGCAATCAATGAATGTAGACAACAGTACAGATGTGTACTCAGCCCCGTACTGTACTCCCGCTACACCAACGACTGCGTAGCCAAATTTCATATGAATGCCATCTACAAGTTTGCTGATGACACCACCATTGTAGAACGGATATCAAACCATGATGAGTCAGAATAGAGGAAGGAGATAGAGTGCTTGGTGTCATGGTGCAATGATAACAATCTCTCTGTCAATGTCAGCAAAAGAAAAGAACCAGTCATTGACTTCAGGAAGAAAGGAGGAGGACACCCCCATATCTACATCAACAGAGCTGAGATGGAGAGGGTTGAGAACGTCAAGTTCCTAGCAGTGACGATAACCAACAATCTGTCCTGTACCAGCCACATAGATGCAACAGTCAAGAAGGCACAACAACGCTTCTTCTTCCTTAGGAGGCTTAGGAAATTTGGCATGTTCATAAGGACCCTCACCAACTTCTTCAGATGCACCATAGAACAGCATTCCATCTGGATGCTTGGTGGCTTAGTATGGCAACTGCTTTGCCCAGGACTGTAAGAAACTGTAGAAAGTTGTGCGTACAGCTTACGCCATCATGGAAGCCAACCTCACATCCATGGATTCCATTTACACTTCTCGCTGCTGCTGAAAGGCTGCCAACATTATCAAAGACCCCTCCCACTCTGGTAATACTCCCTTCCGATCTCTCCCATCAGGGAGAACATACAGAAGCTTGAACACATGCACCAATGGGTTTAAGAACAGCTTCTTCCCTGCAGTTATCAGATTGCTGAACGGACCTCTCTAATTTCAAATCTAACGTTGACTTTGCTTTTGTGCACCTCCTGTACAGTCGTAAGCTTGCATGCCTTGCTCTGTCTAAGCACCCTATGATCTGTATGTCCTTGTTTGCTATGATCTGCTTGTACTGCTCACAAAGCAAAACTTGTCACTGTACTTAGATACATGTGATAACAATAAATTAGATCAAATATATATTACAAACAACAGGAGTCCCAACACTGATCTGTATGGATCACCACTGGTCACAGATGTCCCGTCAGAAAAACATACATCCGCTGCAACTCTCTGTCTTCTATGCCTAAGGCAGTTTTGTATCCATCTTACCGGCTCACTGCGGATTCCATGTGACATCACCTCTGTATCAGCCTTCCATGAGAGACCTTGTCAAAGGCCTAGCTAAAGACCATGTAGGCAACTTCCACCGCTCTGCCCACAATCATTTTTTGTCATTTTCTCAAAAAACTCAATCAAGTTTGTGAGGTATGACCTCACCCGCACAAAGCCATGGTGCTTATCTCTAATAATTTCCTTACTACCGACATAAAGCTCACCAGCCTGTAATTTCCTAGATTATCGCTGTTGCCGTCCTTAAACAAAGGAACAACATTGGCGATTGTCCAGTTGTCTAAGACTCTCCTATGACTAAAGAGGATACAAAGATTTTGTACAAAGCCCCAGCAATTTCCTCTCTTCCCTCCCTGAGTATTCCAGGATAGATCCCATCAGGTCCTGGGGATTTGACTACCTTGATTCTTTTCAAAACACCCAACACCTCCTCCATTTTTATATCGACATACTCTAGAAAATCACATCGCTACACGCACCATCCACCATGTCCTGTTCCTTTGCATTGATAATTACCGACTTCCTCCAGCTCCACTTATGAATCCCCTCTTTTGTCCTTCAGTAGATTCAGCCTTTCCCTACCTACCCTCTTGCTCCTTATACATGTATAAAATTCCTTTCAACTTTCTTTATTCTTGTTTGCCAAGGACATTTCATGACCCCTTTCAGCCTTCCTAACCGCCTATGGTTCTTATTTTTTTTGTTGCTTAATACATCATCCTAATACCATAGCAATAAGTGTTCCCTTGCCTGAAATTTATTGTCGGGTCTTAAAACCTCATCCATCAGTTTCTGCTGGAAAGTTGACGTTAAAACTAGCCCCCAGGTTACAGATCTTAATAAGGTTGAAGCATACCGGAAGGTTATACAAGAGAGCCAGAACAAATGATATGATTTCTTGAATATTAAAAAGCAATGTAAACACTGTTCATCTCTTCTGTCAAACTGTGTGTTCTGCTGTGTATGGAGTCTACTGTTTTCCTCACCTCACGATTTTAGGTGAAAAAATATAATTTAAAAGCCATTTTCTTTGCTTTACACACTTTTATCAAAATAATGTCAGAAGTCACATGATACCAGGTTATAGTCCAACAGGTTTACTTGAAATCACAAGCTTTCTTCGTCAGGTGAAGTGGAGGGAAGCGCACAGGCCTAGAACATATAGGTGGACAGAAAGTGGCAAGATAATTCCAGGTAATTAAAAGTGCAAACAGATAAGTGCAAATACTGTGATGGAGTGTCAACAGGCTGAATAACAAGTCTTTGCAGGTGACCAAAAGTGTATAACAGTGTGAGTAAAGTATCAACAGCTGAATAACAAGTGAAGGGAAGACCTATGAACTAGTTAATTGAGGCAAAGAGAAAATTACAAATAATCTGAAATACGATGGTGCTAGAGACAAACCAAATGGCTGCAATAACATGAGTTCACAGGCATACACAAAAAAAACCTGATTTTAGAATACAACTCTCTTGCACTCCAGTGTTTTTACTCCATCATCATCTTTGTGTGAGGAGCTGTAAGTAGTGTTGGTACAGTCGCTAACAAATATGTGTTTGAAATATGGTATATAATCATACTGCACTTTAAGCTGAATAAAGACATACTTGTTTTGCAATTTGGTGAAGCAATTACCCAGAGATTATAAGAATCTTATATCAGACTGTCCTTGCAATCAATATAAAAAAGAATTTACCATTGTATTGTGAGAAAATGCTTTCGATTTAGTCTTGAATAAGCTTCTTGAATCCGACTGAAACTTGTTTAACTTCAAATATGTATCTACAATACAAACAGATACATTATTCTAAATGTAATCATTTAAGTCAAGAGAGTAATGCCTCAAATGAAATGTAATCTCTAATGAGATATGACATTCTCCTATTCAACTCAGGAATAAGTAAGTTTATAATGTACTCAAATTTGTTTGTATAATCTTATTTGTACAGATCTGTTGAAAATAATGTTAATTTTCACAGTGGCGGGGAATTAAGCAAACTGTCTGAACAATGCACTGCCTAACTTTTTAAATTTAGAGATTGAGATTTCATTTAATGACAGTTCTTTGAATAATAAACATATGTCAACACCGGATTGAGAGTACTTATATTTTTTTTCCTCAGTAGAATTACAAATTAGAATTTTATTCATTATTAAAGCATTTTTCAAGTTTAGAAGGGTTGTGTTGAGTAATGGTTTGTGTCAGTTCTGCATTTACCATCTGAAAATGCATCACCTTGTTTAAAAATTTCAGAGCAAAACCATCATGGAACATAGAACATAGAACATTACAGCGCAGTACAGGCCCTTCGGCCCTCGATGTTGCGCCGACCAAGAATCAAGAATCCACAACAGAATGTTTCCTTTACCAACAATGGAATCATATTCTCGTCCTACAAAAATTCCACGGGCATGATTTTCCTTCCCTTCCACCGGTAATATTGATAATTACAGCAGGATCCGTGCAGCGTTTATTTGCTTGAGAAGGTAATTCAGCTCCTCACTTGGATGAAGTCCCACCTCAGAGATCTACCAGCAGCTTTTAGGACCAGCAGTGCTTTTGGGAGGCATGGTGGCCACTGTTGAGATTGCAAGCAGTCCTACTGCCCCAGTGCTGGAGCCTACAGGATCATCAGTGAGGCTGGAAGGGGAGGACCCAGGGAGGGATGGGGGCAGAGGGACCTGGATAAGAAGATATTGATGTCAGGATGGGATTGGTGTGGGAAGCGGGAGCTGCAGGGAGGCAGACTAGAGGCTGGTTGGCTGCCCAACTTGGAAAGGAGTCCAGTGATAGACACAAGCTCTCCCCTACAACTTCTCCTGTCCAAATGCATGCAGAATAACAAGCCAGGCATTCATTCACAATTCTCACCATGACTGAACTCCTCCCTCAAGACTTTAAAAGTAAAGACAGGTGTAAAACGACTCTTCGATTGGCAATGTGCCGCAATTAGATGAATGCTGCTATGCCTCACCATAAAATTTCAAACGTTCAATGAAAAGTGCGGGAAGGCATGTCAAGAACAGTGCCAGGCAATCCTAAAAATGAGGTGTCAACCTGGTGAAGCTTACTTACAAGTGAAACAGCGGTTGCAACATGCAATATATAGGGATAAGTGATTCCACAATCATGGGATCAGATCTACATTCTGTAGTCCTGCCACAAGCAGTTTTGTCTGGTGCTGAATAATTGAACAACTAATAGAAGATATAGGATCCACAAATATACACATCCTTGATGATGAGGGAGTACAGCACATCAACGGAAAAATTAAGACTGAAGCATTTGCAAGCATTTTTTGCTGTAAGTGCCAAGTGGATGATCCATCTCAGCCACCTCCTGAGGTCCCCACTTCCATAGTTGCCAGTCTTCAGACAATTTGATTTGCTGCATGTGATATCAACGAACAGGTGAAGCCACTGGATGCAGCCATGTGGGCCATGACAACATTCATGGCAACAGTACTGAGGTTTGTTCCAAAACGAGCCACACCCCTGTTCATGACTCTTCAGGTTTTGAGGTATACCATGTCCAAGTGCAGCAAGACCTGGACAATATCCAAGCTTGAGCTGAAAATGCCAGGCAATTAGCACCATCAACAAGAGACAATCTAATATTCCCCCTTGATATTCAATAGCATTACCATTTGTTGAATCCCACTAACAACATACTGGGGGTTACCATTAACCAGAAACTATACGGAACTGGCCATATAAATACAGTGGCTACAAGAGCAGGTCAGAGACTCAGAATACTGCGGCAAGTAACATACCTTCTGACTTCCCAAAGCCTGTCCGCCATTTACAGGAATGTGTTGGAATTCTCCCCACTTGCCTGGATCCAACAACAGTCCAGAAGCTTGATACCATCCAGGACAAAGCAGCCCGCTGGTTGGCACCACAACCACAAACATCCAATCCACTCAGTAGCAGCAGTGTGTACTATCTACAAGATGCACAGCAGAAATTCACCCAAGATCCTCAGGCAGAATCTTCCAAAGCAATGACCACTTCCATATAGAAGGACAAGGGCAGCAGGTTCCGCTCCAAGCCAGCCTTCACTATCACAGGGTAAAAATCCCAGAATTCCCTCTAACCAAACTATGGGTTTACCTACAGTACATGGACTGCAGCAGCCTATGAAGGCAGCTCACCACTAATTTCTCAAATACAAAAAGGGATGGGCAATAAATGATGGCTCAGCCAGCAATGCCCACATCCCACGAGTGAATAAAAAAAGGGGAAAATTGCCCAGATATGTTCTGTTCACAAAAGGCAGGACAAATCCGACCTGATCAACTACTGTCCCTTCAGTCTATGCTCAATGATCAGCAAGGTGTTGGAAGGGGTTCCTGACAGCCCAAATACAGGAATAACCAGCTCACGGATGTTCAGATTGTGTTCTGCTAAGGCTGCTCAGCTCCTCAACCCATTACAGCCTTGAAACATGGGCAAAGGGGCTGAAATCCAGAGGTAGGGGAAAGTGATTGCCCTTGCCATCACAGCAGCTTTTAAGTACAACATCAAGGAATCCTAACAAAACAGGAAGCTATGGGAATCAGGGAAAACAGTCCACTGTTTGCAGTCATACTAAGCAGGAAGGAAAATGGCTGCAGTTGTTGTAGTCAATCATCACAGCCAAAAACATCACTGCAGGAGGTTTTTTTGTAAACTCACAGGGTGTGGACATCGCTGGCTGAGCCAGCAGTTGTTGCACATATATTTCACCACACTCCTGACTTGTGCTATGTAGATGATGGACAGGCTTTGGGAGTCAGGGGATGAGTTACTTGTTGCAGATTCCTACCCTCTGATCTGCTCTTGTAGCCACAAAACTTATATGATGAATCCAGTTCAGTTCCCCATCAATGGTAACCTGCAGCATGCTGATTGTGTGGGATTCAGTGATGTCGATACTATTGAATGTCAACAGGTGATGGTTAGATCCTCTCTTGTTTGATCTGGTCATTGCCTAGCATTCATGTGGCACAAATGTTACTTGCCACCTGTCAGCCCAAGCCTGGGTATTGTCCAGGTCTTGCTGTATTTGAGCACTGACAACTTCAGGGTAGTGTCCTTGACCTACCTTGTTCACCTGCTTCATCAATAACCTTCCTTCCATCATAGGGTCAGTCACGAGGATGTTTGCTGATGGCTCGCAATGCTCACTACCAGTCACAACACACCAATACTGAAGCAGTCTGCGTTCATATGCAGCAAGGTCCGGATAACATCCAGGTTTGGGCTGATGAATGTAAAGTAATGCTCATGCCCCACAAATTTCAGACGATACCCACCTCCAAGAAAGAAACTAACCATCACCCCTCGCTTTTCAATAGCGTTACTGCCACTCAAACCCCTACTATCTACATCCTACTAATGACCAGAAACTGATCTGAAATAACAGTTTAAACACAGTGGCTACTAGAGTTGGGCAGAGCCGTGGAATTCTGCAATGAGTAATTCACCTCCTGTTCGCAAATTCTTGTCCACCATCTACAAGACGCAATTCTGAAGCGTGATAGAATACTGTCCATTTGCCTGGATGGATGCAGCAGAGCTCAGAAGTTCTGTTCCTCTTGGTGGATTTGGAGAGTCAGGAGAATGGTTATGGGATTTAGAGGCAGATGTGATCAACAGATTGAGGGTTGAGTTGTTGACCTCAGGAAGCAGGACTTATGTCGATGGTGTACAATGTGTGCAGATTGGTCAGATCAGAATATTGAAGGAACAATGTCCCAACAATTTTACCAAATCTCTTTACAGACCTCCAACACAATTCATTGAGTATTGTCTTACTTTCATAAATAGTATGGAAATTACAGCATCAGCATTCTTTGATGAGCCATAAACTGAGCAGAATTTAAAACAGAATCAAAATTATACTAACATCAGAAACATCAAAATAATAAAATATTTGTAATTTACTATTAATATGCAATTCAATGATGTAGTCGATTTTACTGCTTAGTGTACTAAAGTATTTGAAGAAAAGTTTATGTTCAAGATTTTCAAATTATACCAATAACCAACCTTTTGTCAACTGGCAGAGGAAGGACAGTAGATTCTCACAGCCAACTTGGCTTTTAAATCCAGAGGCAGCATCAAAAGTCTGACATTCGCCTGAAGAAATTTGCAGATCTATAATAACGCAACAAAACTGAGTTGGTCACTTAAACTTAGGAAGGTTCTGAGGAAGAGTCATATTGGACTCAAAATGTTAATACATTTTCTTTCTCCACTGATACTGTCACACAATTTGAGTTTCTCACCATTTTCTGTTTTTATTTCAGATCTCCAGCACCTGCAGAATTTTGCTTTTACTAAACTTAGAAGAGCAATGAAATTACCAATTATGTAACAAAAATTAGTCTCCAAACTGATTAAGTCTATCCCAAAGAGATTTAATGTCTTCATAACTTCTCTTCAAATTAACCTTTTCATTTGCATTTGAGCGATATTTCAGGTCTAAATAAACTGCACTTCAGAGAGCATTTGCATCTTTGTGAACAGCTACACTTGTGACAGTTAACTGTCAATCACCTAAAACCTGAATAGGCTTCAATAGGTGCTGATTACCATTGAAGCTAACTGGTGCAAGTCATTTCTGCTCTACTTAAGAAAGGATCTACTGCAAACACATGATCAGTGCGCTTTGTGCACAAGCAGTCGGGAGAGAGTGCATTATTAATAAGACACAGTCAGAGTACTTGTGCATATATCTGGAAATGTGAAGAGCTTTGGGAATTCGGTGCACAGAGGAAGTTGTGCTATTTGCTTTCTGTTTTTTTTGGTTTATAGTTTGTAAGGACTGTATTCTTTAGTAATGAGTACAAGGGAATAAAAGGCTTGGAAGAATGGATATTGTTTGATCATAAGCGTCTTCAAGAAAGTTTAAAGGGGTAAGTCATAGCAAGATAGCTCAAAGCTGTTGCATGACCACAAATACCGTATGACCTCAAAAAGGTAGTGACCGCAGGATTACGACCAGTATCACGTGCCAGTCAGAGTAGAAACAGCAGGATATAATCAGATGAATATGGCTAAAGAAATGGCGTAAGAAGGAGGGTTTCAGAGACCTGGGGCATTGGAATCTGTTTTGGGGGAGGTGGGATCAGTGTAAACTGGACTGAGTTACACCTGGACAGGAAAGAGACAGATTGCCAAGAGGAATTTTTTTTAGAGTGGCTGAGAAACCTTTAAACTAAAATAACAAGGGGTTGGAAATCTACGCAAGGAATCAGAGGAAGGGGAATCTGAGACAAGAACAAAAGACAGAATGGGGAATAAGTGATAGCCGGAGAAAATCAAGGGAATTACAGACCAGTCAGGTGGTTGGGCAGGAAAATGCTACAGACCATCATAAAAGATTTAATAACTCAGCATTTGGAATTCAGTGGCAGGATAGCAAAGAGCCAGCATGAATTTAAGGATTTGATGACAGTATAAGGTAGGGGTGGAGGTTAGATAGGTCTTAGATTTAGGGTAAAGGTTCGGCACAACATCATGGGCTGAAGGGCCTGTACTGTGCTGTATTGTTCTATGTTCTAAGGGGAATCATTCTTGACAAATCTGGAATTCTTTAAGGACATAACTGGTACAGTTGATGGGGAGGTACTGCCAGCCAGGTTGGTTGATTTTAATTTTCAGAAGGCTTTTTACAAAGTTCCACCTGTAAAATTAAAACTCATGGGAGTCTATTGAGATGGAGAGAAAACGGATTGACAGACAGGAAATAAAGTATAGGAATGAATGGGTCTTTATTCCAATTGGCAGGCAGTGATTAGTGGCGTACTGCAGTGATTAGTGCTCAGAGCCCAGTTAATCATAATCTATATTAATAGTCTAGATGAGGAAACTAAATAATACCAAATTTACAGATGACATAAGGCTGACTGGGAGGGTGAGCTGCGAGGAGGATGCAGAGTTGCTTTAGTGTAAGTTGGACAAGCCGTGTAAGTGGGAAAATGCATGGCAGATGCAGTATAATGTGAGTAAATGAAGGGTCCGGTGCCCTTTCTAAAACATTAACTCTGATGTTTTCTTCACAGATGCTGCCAGACCTGCTGAGCTTTTCCAGCAACTTCTGTTTTTGTTCCTGATTTACAGCATCCGCAGTTCTTTTGGTTTTTATTAGATTCAAATGTAATATTTTTAATAAAATTAAATATTTTGGAAAAGGACAATAAGCAAGCTTTGGAATTTGAATATTTACTGTCATTTCTGCAGTAGAATATTTGGTGATAAATTTATAATCATTTTACTTATGATTCCTTACCTGTGCAATTCAACTGAAGTTCCATAATTTGAACACTTGGCTCAATTTCCAAACTGGTCAAATTCCACTGGTAAATGAGATTTTGCTGAGGGAAAGAGCACATACTGACTGCTTTAATCTGGTTTGCATCCAGCACACGAGTCCAAATGTTCAAGTCTGTGATGTTGCCACTAAAAGCCTCATTTTGTTTGAATGTACCTCCTAATGAGTCTTGATCTTGACCAATAATAAATATCCCATTTCCAGCAATAATTTGCGAACTGTAGCAGCCATCTCCTGAACTCACCTTTACCCCATCTGCATAAATAAACCAAGCACCATTTTCATTTTGCCATGTTACACAAAAGTGATGCCACAGTCCGTCACTTTTCAGCACCGATCTGTAGGGCGTGTGATGTCCATGAACTATCAGAGCTAACTGGATGAATCCAACATCGTCAATACGACCACGCAGCTGGAATTCATTAATAAACGCTGGAATGGCATAAGAAAATACTGTGGCAATGTCGGAAGATTGGCTGTCCCACTGAACACGTGCACAGATTGTAACAGCTGACAAAGGAGGCAGCACATTGAGAATTTTGGCATGTTTGGTATCTGTTTTGTTCAGGAATGCCAGGGTCTTGAACCTGTCAGCACCTGAAGTAAAAGTTCAAACAAAATCTGTTAGAATTTACCAAGTAAATAGTGGACACTGCAAACCTCAGAAATGCAGAACTTTTTCACCGACAGTTCATTAGCTTGATGGTAAGGAGCAGTCTCCTTCAATTAAGTAGAAAATACAGGGAGCAAATTTCATTCACATAGAGCCAGTGAGTTGTGTCACCTGAAGTTGGCATTGAGTCAAAGCTTTCGTGTGCACAAAGTGGAGTGTCCCCACTTTGGCTCATTTCCTTCAGTAACACCATATAGGCCAGTCAGAAGCAACTGGTAGCATGGGCCACATGAGAAAAGCTGAGCAAGTTCTGTGTATTGCCATGACAAAAAGTAACTTCAGATACCTGCTATCATCTTTCCATACAGGATTCATATATTGTCAGTATCATTACATGTTTCTATACTAATAGTATCCACATTTGGTGACGCCTACCTACTAACATTTTAAGAAGTTTTTCCCAGCCAGTGACTCTTTTGTCACATGCACTAAATTCTCGATAGCGTCGTAAAGTAGTCTCATCAAAAATCACTTAGAAGGCTGTCGAAACTGTTGCACATGTAGCTTGATTCTAGAATCTTATAGTCCTGAAGGAGCCGTTCAGCCCATTGTGCCTGTGCCAGCTCTTTGAAAGAGTTATAGATGAAATCCCATTCTATTGCTCCTCCCCACTTATTGCAAATTTTTCTGTTTAAAATATATATTCAATTCTGCTTTGAAAGTTACTGCTGAATCACTTTTCCAATCACTTTTAAAATTAATTTCTAACATGTGATCATCACTGGCAAGGCCAGCATTTATTGCCCCTCCTTAACTGCCCATTTGGTCAGTGCTTTTCAGATCATAGCAACTTGCTCTGTAAATAAATGTATCCTCAGCTCACCCTAATTCCTTATCTTAAATTTGTGTCCTTTGGTTCTTGCCCTTCAGCCAGAGGGAACAGTTTTTCTTTATGCACTCTATCAAAGCAATTTTGAATATTGACTTGTCCCGATCTAAGAACAATCCTAGTTTCTCTTAACACTCCATATGATTGGTAAATCTTCTCTATACCCTCTTCAAGGTCTTAGGATCCCCCTCAAACTGGGATGTCAAGAATTGGGTACAATAATCTAGCTGAATCTGACTAGTGATTTATTAAAGATTTAGTATCACGTTCTTGCTTTAAACCTGAATCTTAAACTTGTAGTTTGGGCTAAAATACCCCACTATTACAGTCAGGGGATTGTAAGCACTGGAAGAGAAGAAATTGAAAGAGAAAAGGCAAAACATGGAAATGGTTGACAAATGGTAGTGTTACAGAGGAGAGGACGTTTATAAGGGGCTGCTAGGTCAGGTGCCACCTTGTAAGTGAGGAGTCAGAAAGGTTATTTAAAAGAAAATATAATCCACTTCTTGTTAACTTCTTCCACACAAATTCCTATGTGTCATAATGGAAACTGCTTATATCACATATCAATTGTGCACTTTTGTCAAGAAAGACCTACAGTATCTCCATTGGGAAGGTATAATTATATGAAAAGGATATAAATAAAATTTCAGATGGACAGAGGCATTTATAAAAAGTTGATAGCAAGCATGTGTAAATACAAGATTCTTAAAATGTTAACATTGATACACATTTATATAACATACTGGGCTCATCTTATAATGCCTATTTCCAAAAGTCATAGTTTAAATTTTGTAACACTGATAACTTCAAGAGACAATATCTGACATATAACAATAATGCCTGTATCTATAACAACTATGTTACTGCCAGCTTTTTAGTTCTTCCATCAGAATGTCATTGCGGCAGGGTCATAACATTCGACTTGCTATTTTTCCCATTTTGCAACAAATGTAAAAATAGACCTCATTCACAACTAACTATGAACATCAGCCGTGCTATATTCTTGTTTGTTTTATCATAAACAATTATTACATATTTTAATTACCATTGCAATGATTTTCGAACTTACTGTTCTTTCTCACAGTTATGTCTTCCCCTCCTGATACCTCATTCAGTTTTCCATTTATCCATACTTGCTGATTAACCCCTTGGGTAGCTAACAGATCCAATATAGCATTCTTGTCTGCAACTTTACTAACAACAGGCAGACTGCCAAAGCGTAGCTCACAATATCTGGATGCATGTTCCCATTTTAACGGTGTATTTATATATTCATAAACGTAGTATGATGATTGAAAGATTGATGAATTACTGAAAGCTGGTGAAGTGAAAAGCAAACACAGTTAATAGCCAAGCACGTATATGTTCAGTAATTTGTCATTATATAATGGTCAACACATATCAAATACATTGGCACCTCCATCATCCACACTCAAATTCTTTGTCTTCCTGATTACTTGCCAAATTTTATACAGGACAAAGTGGAAACACCTCCAGCATGCAAATTCTGCTTGTAATTTATATTTCATCTCCTAATCTCGCTGAATAAAATTAAAAATCACAATGGCTTGTTTGCTATTTATACTGTACTTTGTACTTGTCAAGATTGTTTTACATTGAATGCATGCCTAAGTTTTGGGTACTCAATCATCCACAAATTTATTTTACTACCTAGAAGGAATCCCTCAATTGATGGTGAATAATGAAGATTTAATCTGCATTTGTGAAGTGAATACCATCTAAAGTGAAACTTTTTGATGGGCATAAACTTTCAGGAGCGAAACACTTGTCAATGAAGGGCACAGTTACCTGAGTAAAATCTAAAAAATGCAGAGAGTAGTATAAGTGTGCATATAATCGCTCTCCCACATTTTATATTATTTTCATTTAATATATTACACATTTAAACTGAAAAACACAATCACAGCTTGGTCAACAAATATGCTCTAAACACAATAAAAACAACAAAATTTGAAGGATTTCAATTTAATCACTCTCACGTGGACGATTACTCACAACATCTCCATGATTCAGTCATATTTTCATGTGAAGCTACACACACAGATATATAATTTGCATTGGTTCATAATTTCATCTTGTTAAACAAATGATGAAGATGGCAAGCAACTTCATCATGGATGAGACTGACACAATGAGGAGGATTAAAGCATCCTGCATTCTTACAACTTTCCCAATTAAATAAGAAAAAAACCCATTTTTTAAATCAATATCACACCCATGGCTGCTGTATGTGTAAAATACAAAGTGGCAGCTTAGCCTGCTTGGAAAGAGGCCAGATACATTTATGGCTTTGCAAATATGAATGCTCCTGATTAATTTCTCCTTATATCTCATATACATGTGTAAGTTATGACAGAGATTTTAAAATCCAATATAAAATATTTCTAAATATTGTCTAGTTATATTGTGCAGTATATAGGTCCTGTTAACAAATTCATACATATTTGTTCAGTTGAAAGAAAATGTCCCTATTGTCAGTATTCTTTTTAACAATAAACAGTTAACTTTCCTGCAACAATTTCTGTCTGTGTTTGAGCAATGAGCCCTACTGGTGTCATTAGCAACACTGAATGAGAGGAGTTACAAGTAATAATATAAAGGATTCAAGCTGAACATGTAATTGAAATTGCAAAATTCCTTTGCTGAGTAACTGTTACCTATTGTACACCTGAGTGTAGTTCAAACGTTTCCCCATGCCCCACCAATGACCTTATCAGAATTTACTTTTGAAACCAAAATTTTAACACCCGTATCAAAACATGAGAAAAAACATTACTCATCTAATTATTTTAAAATACAATAATTTTTAAAAGACTACCTAGCACCTAGTCTAACTTAAAGCAGCATGATAATCCTTGTCTTAAATTCACATTTGCTACATATATACATCTTTTTGCCATCATGATTGTATTACAACCTGAGAGAAACGCAATTTGCTTACATTATGAATTAGATAATAACTCTTACCCTGTGTGTAAGTTTCATCCAAATTACAGACCTATAAAAATAAAGTACACAGTAAAAAATATATGCTGCCCTGTGAAAGGACCCCTATTTTAAGGCGATTGAATTATTACAAGTTATTTAAGATTTTTCAGACCAATATTTTAGAGAACTCCATTACATTCGTTAAAAAATCCACTCACTTATGTTAATTTCCTTGAATACGAAACCACTTATACAGAAATAAACTTACCAGAAGTGCGCAGAACCAAACTGCAAATCTTGTAATTGCTCCACACATTATTTCTTCAGTTGAAAGTCTCCTCTTTTACAATAAACTATTTAAAAGTCACATAAAAAAGAAATTGCATACAAAAAAAATCAGCAAGTTTCCACGTATGATGGCCTGCCTACGAATTGATGCCTCATCCTTACACATTGGGCACTGGCGCTTAATTAAGCTCGAGATGTTTTCGCCTGGAGTTGAACTCAACGAGGATTTATGCCCCTTTAAGAATAAATTTATTCTACTACAAATTCACTAACATAAATCTGGAATAAAGTTGCCAATATGTGGGATTTGATCTGTTTATGCTTAACGAGGAATTTTAAAATGAAACAAGTAATAGAACTGGTAATAGCGAATTCAATCTGATGCTCGGGAAACACAGAGACTGAGATTGTTTCAGGAATTCGGATACAAGGAACAAGCATGTGAAACGGGACAGGCTCGGGCTGGGGGCACGGTTAGGCTCAGGCCAGTATTAGCTGAATGGGTTTAGATTTGAAGACGCTTCACTGTCTGATCAGAGGTGAACCGCTAGGTTCAGGTAGCGAGCTGCCAACACTACCCTCACTTCCCACCACAACCCCCACCAAATCGCAGCACAGAGCAGGTCTGTACAAACCTGCAATCACTTCTCAATGATCAGACACCGAACCGACATTTGAAAGTGAAAGACTTACTGCTACAGAAAATCCCGCTTTACGAAAACAAAATCCTCCTCTTCAAACCCTTATTGCAAATATAATCATCCTCTTTACCGGGTACGGGGCTTTCGCGACCTTTCTTGATTTTACATAAATCTAATGGCAGTTTCCCCTTTCATTCGCCGTATTTCAGTGTCGCTTTCTCCTTTCGGTATGTCTGCTGCAGAGAAAACCGCAACTTTTCTTATGGTAATGAGATATTTTTGAAAGCAACCCACAAGGCCTTTTTCTGCGCCGAAAAATATCAATGCTGGTTGATTCACTAATTTGCTGAAGTTTTGTTTACTTCCCCTTTGTAAAATTCCTTAAACTAAAACAGCAGCATCAACTTACCTCGGTTTCCGTGTGTGAGAAGTTTTTCTTTGCTCTGATGGATAAAAACATTTTGGGAAGATATTCCTTTATAAAGGATGCAATGTGTGAAAGGGTTGCAGTTGCCCACTTTTATTATGAAGTACATTGATCTTACCTATTTCCTAAAGTTGAAACAAGAACAAGAAAAAAAATCCAGACGTTTTTTTTTAAATCCTTTAATTAAGCAATTAAGCTCTATTTGGCAACATCTCTTTATTGTGAAATCATAGCATCAAAATGGTTACAAGACAGAAGGAGGTCATTCAGCCCATAGTATGAGTGCTTGAAGAGTTATGACAGTTTACTGCATCCCTTTAAGTGTAGTTAGGATTTGAAACAGTGTAAAATGCAAGATACAGTGAGAAAGTAGAGAACTGGGTTTAGATTAGGATTGTTCTAGCAAAAATCCGACAGAAACTTAATGGCTCGAGTATGTTTCTTAAAGCAAACCGAGGCATATAAATAACAAGTGGGATAGAACACTGATGCTTCACTAGAGGTGCACTGACGACGTTACCTAGCAGGGTGATGAAACATTTGCTACCAAACGCACCAGCTCGGTGAGCATGTCTAAACTTCATCTGCATCCCAAGCTACAAATGTTCTTGAAAACTTTAAGTCAATGTTTGTATTGTTTGTATTACCAAAATGCAATACCTTACATTTATTCAAATTAAACTCCATCTGCCACTCCTCAAACCATTGACCCAATTGATCAAGGTTTATTTGTAATCACAGTTAATCTTCTTCACTGTCCACTATACCACCAATTGTGGGTCATCTCTAGACTTACTAACTATGCCTCCTATATTGTCATCCAAATCATCTATATAAATGACAAACAAAAGTGGATCCAATACTGATCTCTGTGGAACCTCATAAGTAAAGTATATGTGATTACATAACAATGTATTTTTGGATAGGGAGTACAAAAGTCAGCTCACCATGTTTGCTAAATCCTTTACAAATCCCTTGGAATTCATCGAGAATAAGAAACTGACAAATGATACAGCTTAGGCGAAAGATTAGTGATCCATTTCATAATAATTGGCAAGATTATACAGAAGACCAAATCAGCAGATGAACATAAATACAGGACTCACTAATATCATTTAACACGATCCAAAACAAGAAATCATTTGTTATTTAGTGATTCTCCATTTCTAACTTGTTTGACCAAAACTTTACCTAAGTAATACATTCCATATAAGCCCCTGCTAATCCTTTACTTATAACAGCACAGCAAACATGTCTAAGAAGACAAACCATTTTACCCTGATGAGGAAGTGTTTACAATTACTGAGTATCTTGAGAGTTGTGCCAACTTCTTCTGAATAAGCAAGTCTACTTTAGACATAGTTTCTGTATTTCTCATCTCCCTTGGATTGTAACACAAACTGATTTTCAAAGTATAATTTCACCCAGTTCAGACAAACTGAGGAGCAGCTGCTTCTGTCACCAGACCATGATTCATGCAGCCTTCTGCTGATTCAGAAGTTGTGAAAGTCGAATCGTTACCACAGCTTTCACTGGCTGCCATCAGTTCTAGAGCAGGCTGTTCAGCTGACCACTCTTGTACGATAAATGAGACATTTTGCATCACTTCAAAGCAGTGGTTGGCATCTTCGTATATCTCCCATTCATTTACCTAAGGAGAAACTATAGAACTTCCATTAACAGGTCAGAATAGTGGTTGTTTACATAAAACAGTGAACTCCATTTAAGGACATCTATCCCAGACTTTAAGATCCCTCGGATAGTAGTGCATTAAAATAATTGATTTCTCACCAGCACCTCAATCCAGTGTCAAAACTCCAAGATCTTCATAATTATATAATCAGGGAGAAACTTCTGAAGAAAAATTACAGTAAACTCTAAAATATATAACGTAGTTTATTAACAATTGTTTATCAGTTGCCTAATATTACATTAATAAATATTAATGCAGGACACCAATTATGTTCTGTTTTGAAACTAAACTAAGGCAAATAATAGAATTGTCAATTGTGGGAGAGATCTAAGACACTGTTCTGATCAATTGGCCTTACAGCGTATTTACACATGTGAAAGTGAGCAACTATCTAACAAAGCGGGATTGGCCATAATTTCCAATATGCTGCTAATTTCCCCGCTGCCTGATAAATCACAGGGTCTGCAGCTTTGCTTCCAGCTCAATGACTCTGAGCTGAACTTCCTCAAGCCATGCACACTCAGTGTAGATGTGTTTGCCTTGTATCACAGTGATGTCCAGGAGCTCTCACATTCTGCAGGTGCCACATATCAATTGCCCTGCCATCTTTATAGCAACTAAATAATTAATTATTTTCCTTGAATGTTTCTAGTTTGAATGTTTCTTGCTTGTGCTTATATTATTATCTTAATAAATGTTCTGCTTCTCTGAATTGAAATTGTCCCGTCAATATAAATCAGAAGTACTCACCAGCCAATCAGCTATCTGCTTCAGTATGATTTCACACTTGAATTGTTTTTATTTTAGATTTTCCAGTTCTGACTGGCTCTAAGTGCTGGCATCAGGTAGCCCTGCTGTCTGTCTCACAAATTCACTGGGAAAGTTTCACTCTCTCTCAGCATTTCACCGCTGCACCTACTGATTCTGAGGGGAATATTCTGTTCTCTCTCTGCACTCTGACACTTTCTCCTGGTCTCACTGATTCTTGCAGGTATAATCGCTTGAAGTCTGAAGTTAACTCTGTTAAAATGTAAATTTGGTATGTTAGAACATGTTTAGAAATGCCTATGTATAACTTGTAGAGCAAATCATTCCAGGTGCATAAAAAAGGGAGAGAAAGTTAAACCTATTGTTGTTTCTTCATTTTACTTACCTTTCCCACTCTCTATTCTTGATAATGAAATGATGTACTTTAAATATAAGTAAATTATAAAGAAGATGGCTCAGCTTCACTTAACAACATTCCAGACTGAAATATTTGTACAGAAACTTTAACCATTTAGGACAAAAATCAGTACTCTTATTCCCTTCATCTACCATAATGTTTCTTTTGACATGGCTAAATACTCTCCAGTGTTCTTGATGACAACCTATTAAATGTACATAACCTATACAGTAATTCCTCAGGGAGTCAAGCAGAAAAAGCATTTTACAGCCTAAGGTGAACATGGTTCCATAAATTGAGAAGCAGCCGTAAATAATAGATTGCCATGAGGAGGTGGCTAGTGTATTCCAAGTTTATAAGGACAGTGAACAATGGTGCGTAGCCATGGTAAATTTTGATGTCGCCTTTTTTTCTCCAGGGAAAAAGCTTTGCCTGGTTAATGTTTGACAATTCAGTTTAACCAGCGCTAAATTTTTTATGGTTGTACTCCCCACCCACAACTGACTGCCTAATTTATTTCGATGGTAGAATCCTGGGTAAATGCCTGATGTCTTGCTACATTCCAACCCCTTAGTGAAGTTGATTAGTAGCTCATTGCCTTTCTGTAAATTTCAATAATTCTTTCACTTAACAGAAGATTCCAAGGATAGTTACGTAAACTTTCGTATTCATTAATGTTACTCCTGAAGAAATCATGTCACTAGACCCAATTGGGCTTGATTAATAGTGATTTTGGGATGGTTTCAAGCAATTTCTTCTTCTCTCCACTATTTCTTGATTGAATTGTTGGGTTAAAAATATCACAAAATCTGAAAAACCTTTTTAGTAAGCAATACATATAAACATTATAAATAGCAATAATTTTAGAAGTTGGCATTATTGTACCAAGGTTACCACTTACAGTAAATGGTTTCCAAAAGGCTGCATTTAAGTCAGAAACTGTTTTTTTTTTCTCAGCTTTTTAGAAAAATAGATTTGAATGCTTCTCATCAGTTCTGATTCTGAAAGGACTGCAACATTCCCTGTATTATCAGCATTAGGATTGACATTATCTATTGGGTTTGACTTTTGCCAAATGAATCATCTAATATACAATAGACAG